TCCCACTGGTTTCTGAAGGTGAAAAATAGCGTTTTTTTTTCTTTCCAAAATCAGCAGGCAAGTTTCGAGCTCAATTAGACCTAGAGGAATTGAGTTGAGTGAAACCTTGTAATGATATGATTTATAGTCAATATCATGAGGAACAAATTGGTTTCTTATTGGATTCTACAGCTTCAATAGTTATCGAGATATGGGAGATAACGCAAACCTCCATTTCAGGCGAAAACGCGTTTTTCGCATTATAAAAACGTCGCTATTAGTTGAATATCAAACTTTTAATTTTAACTCCATGTTACTTTGAAATAGAGCATTATTTTCTATGAGTTTCAAAATTTTCGGAGCTTCTCCACGGGAGATATGAGATGTTAAAAATGGCTGATTTGGGGCCCAGAGCAAAGTTTGGAAGCACCTGAAAATTTTTGGAAAATAGGTACGGGGTTCAAAACTATGTGATTATATTCCTCATGTAGGTAACAACAAAGGGTAGAAACCACGGATCTGATACTTTCCCCCTCCCCTTGGTTTCTGAAGGTCAAAAATACCGTTTCTCCCAAAATCGATGGGTAAGTTTCGAGCTCAATTAGACCTAGAGGAAGTGAGTTGAGTGAAACCTTGTAATGATATGATTTATAGTCCATATCATAAGAAACAAATCGGATTTTCATTGGAGTTTCTAGCTTCAATTGTTACCGAAATCTATAAGATAACGCAAACCTCCATTTGAGCCGAAAACGCGTTTTTTCGCATTATAAAAACGGCTGTACCGGGAGAACCAAGCGGTTTACAATTTTTTAAAAAATATTTTTGAAGTGTGAAAATATGTAGAAATAAGTGTACAAATTTTATTTTTTTTAAATGGTGCGCGACCTCTTTGGATGACCACATGGAATGACCAAAAAGTGATCCGTCCTATAAATTAGTGACAGGATACGAACTTTTGGTCTAACTTGTTTCAAATTCGCAACCAGTAACATTCACGATACTGAACAGTCGGGAATCCTGAAAGCTTTTATCGACGACTCGAATTAGTTACACCCTAAGCTTTAACTAAAATTTGGAACGGCGTATTTTAGCGGCACTCTCTCATTATATTTCGGTTTAAATGTCATTGCATACAAAGACAATGACCAAATCACCAAAATACGAATTTGGAGAAGGAGCAGACGTGAAGAGAACACTGTAGTGGACTTTCAAGAAAAAAAGAGTGGAGTGAGTGAATATTGACTTTTCAACGATTCTGCTTCATGGAGTTACCGTAATATTTGCTACACGCTCATGGAAAGAGAGCAGAGACAATTTACTTGAAAACACCAATAATCATGCTGTCGAAGCTGTCAAGTGTAAGAACAAAATACGCAGGACACCATACGCACAATAAAATCTGTGTTAAATTTCTTTGAAAGCCTTGATAATTAATTATGCGTGTATAACACAGAATTAAATTTGTTTTCTGATTAAACTTTTCTAGTTAAAAATGTGATTAAATACTTTCTCTTAATTATCAAGGCCTTGGGGCACGCGATAGTGGTTGGTTGAGGCACTATGCTACAAGCTGGAAAGTCGCGGGTTCGATTCTCGATGAGGTCATTGGATTTTTCAATTCACCTAATCCTTTCAGCCGCACTATGGTCCTGCAGTCGGCTCAGCCTCTAACAGAAATGAGTACTTGGAATCTTCCTGAGGATAAGGGGCTGTGGCCGGCGTGTAAGGATGACAACCTCACCGCCATCTGTGAATCGACTGTCTAGAAGAGGTGGGAGCCTCGAACTCTCAACCCCGATGAGCCTTCACGGCCTGTTACAGGGACAGTTTTACCTTTTATATGTTTCCCCACACCAAATCAGCAATTTCTCATTTCTACAGTTGTAAAGACTGAAAATAACATGCTCAGTAAACACTAAAGTGAGAAATAGAAAACGCTATTCCAAGCGCTTTTAACTTCACAAACTAAACTTACTAAGTTTCCGAGACACACTACATAGTTTCCTCTAACTTTCAGGTTTTTAACAAGAAACTCTTAGATTTCCGACGCTGTGATTAACTACTGCAAATGTCGAAATAATGAAGAGCAAAAAGAGACCAGGGGCGAATTCAATCGTGACTTTCAGAAAAGATAAGAGATATCTCAAGTGATTTATGGATCGTGGGGTTTAAGTTAAAAAAACTGTATCTGCCTACCAATTGCATTCACCCCAAATCTCATGCAAGTTTAAATAACTCCTGTAGTTTGTATATAGTTGTTAAATAACACGAGAATCGATAGAATGGCGTCGATTTCTAATTGTTACAAATGATATATTTTTTGCTAACGTGTAAAATTTTCGGATGAATTATTTCGAGCACTTGACTGAGTAGAACCAATAACCCACAGACGATAAGCCTAACTGCGTTCATGTGTAGAACGCAACAGCTAAAATTCCAGGGCAGATTTGCAACTACACACGCCACATCTGTAATCTTCCACTGAACTCCACTAATTGGAGCTCAGGTAGCAAGGTGCTTAGAAGTGCGATATATACATGTATACGTGAGTGTATATACCGACGGTGTAGGCGGTGTGTAGGCATACCACGTAAGATTATGAAGTATCTACAAATTACACACCTCACGCATACGACAAGTGTAAAATTGAAACGAAATTGAATGTTTCCTTCTAACTTCAAGGAACAGTGTCCCTCAGCTAATCTATAAATCCGCAGAATTTTATGGAACCCTCAGATTTAGATGCCACCTCTGAACACTATCCTGAGCCAGATGAATCTAATCCACACGTTCAAATCCTATTCCTTGAAGCTCCGTTTTAATATTATCTCCCAAACAGTCTCTTCCGTTCAGGTTTTCCTTCTTTGTGATTTAATAAAAGTTTGATTAATTCGCCGAGAGTGTGTTTCGTCTAATTCAGATTCAATCTGCTGTGTCTCTCTTCCTCCAAGAGAGACGAAGCTTTATATGATGCCACGTATTAACTCTGTGGTTCCGCGCAGAATGAACAAGAGAAAACACAATGATAACACCAGGTTTTCCGAGAAAATCAAGCTTATGATCTTCTGCTTCAGATTCTTCGACCAAAATAATAATATACCGGATTTGCTCAAAGCATTGCTAGGCAACGGCTCGATAAACCCCCCGCGATACGCGCAGGCAACAATATGACGGATGTTATAGCTCGTTCCCAGGCAGCAGCCAGCGAGACAATGGCCGGGCTAGGTAGCAATAAGTGATTTGTGTTTTCTGTGGGGTCCGTGCGGAGCCTACATAACGAGGATCTGTTGTAGCCTAGTTCAGTGCAGTGCAGTTGAGAGTACGAGGACGAGAATGGAACATGTTCTTAGTGAACTATGAAGCTTAGTTGAGTATAAATTAAACAGAGGAGTACATAGGGATTGGAGATGAAATAAGAAGACTTCATAATAATTGGAAGTGCTAGTTTTTGTCCTGAGATCCGTTGCCAGGAGACAACTAGTGAAGACGGAGAATCCCCTTGCGAGTGCAACGGTGAACTGAAATTGTGTAGAATAGTGATAGCGCTATAATTGTCGTTAAGATGACTTGCAACCGAAGTGACAATAAATCCAATCATCCGGTATATAACCTGTTATTTTCGTGACGCGTACCACAATACACGTGACAATATTAATTTCGACCAATTATTCTCGCGTCAGTTGACTTAAAATACAAAGACGTCACCCTTCCTTAACTCCCCTTCAACGCCACAACACTTTTAACCGAATTTCATCTTCAATCACATCCACTTCCTTCAATATTGGCCGCGCCATAGCTCAAGCGTTTAGTCGCTGGCTTCCCACCGCGGCGGCCCGGGTTCGATCCCGGGTCTTGTCAAGTGGGATTTGTGGTGGAAAAAGTGGCGCTGGGGAAGGTTTTCTCCGAGTACTTCGGTTTCCCCTGCCAATCTTCATTCCACCAATTGCTCCACAATCATCCTCACCTATAATCTTGGGCTGGTACAATAGGCCAGAAGTGGCCGCAGTACAAGGGACTTAGTCCCACCCCAGTAGCAATAAAAAAAATACTTCAATATTAAATTTACAATTGGTCCTCATCCTTTCGATACTTGTTCCATATTGTAAATAACATTTCAGATTTTTCTCATTGATATCGCAGGACCAAACCGTCTTTCCTTTATTCCTTTACTAAATCCCTACGGAATATCTTAACTTACAAAAGTCTACATTTAAATTACTCTATAGTTACTTGCTTCACAATGCCCAAAGCGGAGAGTTTCTTCAATGCATTATTAACAGCGACAACTTCCCCCCCCCCATGCTATGGAACGGTAACATGTTCAAGTACCACAAAAATATATATAAGAATGAAAACTACGCCAAGTTAGTAACAAGTTTCCAAACTTTCCATGTATATATAAACGTACAAGGACTTTTGAAATTACCAACCGTGAAGACCGTAACGATGCTGTAATTCAAATCGCATTTCATACCAAAGTTCTCCGTAAACCGCTGTGGTCCTCAATGCAAGCAGCAACTTACTGGCGTGGGTGTATTGGATTCGACTAAAGTGTACCAGTCAAGGTAATATGGGACGTCACTGATCCAGTTATTACAGTGCGTTTAAGAGTTTTTGTTCTGTTCTTCTTAGCATGCCTTCAGACGAGTTAGTAACGACTAAATGATAAACAAAAGTGACAAGTTATTTTCAGAATAGTCCATGTTCTTTAGTATTGTAAGTTTATGAAAGATGAAGAAAAATTACGTTTTTGACTTTAAAAATATCTTTATTTTATTTGTAAGATTTGAGGTTTTCACGGCGGTGACTATGAAGAAAGCCGCATTCTGGGATGTGACGCCGTGTAGTTATTGTATTAACCGACGTTTCAGAGCACCTCACAACACCTGCTCACGCTGATTCCTCGCTCGAGGATTTTTCTTTTTTGCTTCTACCCTGAAGATTGGGGCGATACGTTCATCCGAAACGTCGGTTAATACAATATCTACACGGCGCCTCATCCCATAAGACGGCTTTCTTTATTTTTTTATTTGTAGGTTATTTAACGATGCTGTCAGATCACAGAGGGAACGACTGGCTGAGACTGAATGATGAATTGTAAATAATGTATATGGAGTAGTACCTCGACTGTTGACTGGAGGAAAGAGAAAAACAGCGAAATATTTTAAACAGGATAATCGGTGTTCCGGCCGCGATTCAAACCGGATACCTCCCGAATACAAGTCACACTTCGCGGTTTCAGCCAACTTGTTCCGTCCTAGATGTGTCTTCTTTGGATTTCGCAACAACAATTCCTTTACGGAGCATATTCGTCAGCCTTGCGTTCAACCCCAAATCTGTAAATTGTAACATAAAATAATTATCTCAGCAAAGGCAAAATATCAAGTTCAAAATAAGGAGTCCTACCGAGCGCGTATAGGTTTTAGAAACTGAAAAAGCGGCCAAGGTCCAACAAGGGGCTGTAGAGCCATTACTTACTTACTTACTCATGGAGCCGAGCCCTTCTGGAGGAGCCGCCAATTCAGCAGCTACTCAAGAATTTCCAAGCGTTTTATGGAACACGAAGGTTCATTGCCGTGCTCACAAGAGCCCTCCACTGGTCCCTATCCTGAGCCAGATCTATCCAATCAATACCATCCCATCCTATCTCTCTAAGATCCATTTTAATATTGCTCACCCACCTACGCTTTGGCCTTCCCAGTGGTCTCTTTCCCTCTGGCTTTCCCATGAATAACCTATATTCATTCATTTTCTCCTCCATTCGTGTTACATGACCTGCCCACCTCATCCTCCTTGACTTGATTATTCTAATTATACTTGGAGAATAGTACAAGTTATGAAGCTCCTCACTATGCAGTTTTCTCCAACCTCCTGTCCCTTCATCGCACTTCGGTCCAAATATTCTCCTCAACGCCCTTTTCTCAAACACCCTCAGTGTATGTTCCTCCCTTAATATCAGAGACCAAGTTTCACACCCATACAGAACCACAGGCAAAATTATAGCTTTGCATATTGTAATTTTTATGTTTTGGACAGCAGACGAGAAGACAAAAGGTTCTGGACTGAATGGTAGCAAGCATTACCCGAGTTCAGTCTCCTCTTAATTTCCTCATGAATCAGGTTTCGATCTGCTAACGTTGTTCCCAAATATCTGAACTGTGCCACATTTTCAAAACATCTGTTTCCTATCTTTATGTCATGATTTTGCCCTGCATTCTGGTGACGATACAGTAACATATACTTAGTTTTCTCTGTGCTTACCATATATTATTATTATAATTATTTTGGTTCTACAGCCCTTTGTTGGGCCTTGGCTGCTTTCTCAGTTTCTTCATCTTATTCACAGTCCGTAGAACTACTTGGATGGGGATCAACCCTTCGCAAGGCTTCTACCTATATACAGAACATAAACACAGAAAAAAACGCACATAATACAGACACCCATGGCTTGAGCGGGATTCAAACCCACGATCCAAGTGTTCGAGCAAGCGAAGAGAGTTCGTGCCTTAAACTGCGCGGCCACTGTGATCGGCCCATAGATAGGTAAATAGCATAAATTTGTAGTATAATCAGTGAATAATTATTTCCAAGGAAATGGTCGTGGCCTAACTTGATGTATTATCAAGGTATTTCTTTGGAGGGACTGATGAAAGTCACGTATAACACTCAGGCAGGACAGGCAATCTCTTAGCCACGACTTAAACCAGGGGCTTCTGTAATATGAAACAGGAGTGAACCCATTAGACGGCAATGCCCTATATAATTTTATAGACCAAGAGGCACATGTAATGTGCTAGCGAACTGTTCACAGTGACAAGAAGGGTGACATTAATTATGTCTGTAGTTCAATCTAAAACATATTGAACATGTACAATGTTCGGCTGGGTCTGTTTATAACAAAGCAATCTAGTTCAACGGATTGTAGAAGTTAAATTAATGGTAAATTTGCATGACAGTTCATTTTAACCAATGATTTATTTTCTGACCACCGTTACTTTTAAGCGGATGAAATAATACCAATGATAGAAGTCTGCTTTAAAATAGTGATAGAATATCTGTCGATCTAAGTTTATTAAATACCAACGGTTAATTCAACTAAAATTTGTATGTATTTAACGCTTTGACAAGCTGTTACTTCATATCGGGTGGAAAAGTTAACCTGTCGCAGTGATATTGATCGGTTAAATTCCAAAGCATTGAACCCCCTTTAAGAGCTGGGACCGTTATTCGCGGATTGGTAGGAGTTCGATTCTCGACTGGGATAGGATATATCTTTACGTCACAAAATGCAAAGCAGATGTAACACCCAACTAGTCTCCTACCTGGTAGATCCGGTGGATCTTCCGGCCGAGTGTAAAGATGGCCACTCTTTCTTCAAGATCTCTAATGCGTGGAGCTTTGCCTCTAATCTCCATATAATCCTCAAGGACGTGGTGCTTAGGAACTAACTCCATGGAGCTGAGTTATGCTTGAGTAGCAGCCAAGTGTTCAGCTACCCAAGAATTTCCCAAAATTTTATGGAACCCGAAGGGTCGTTACTGGGCTCACAAGAGCCCTCTGCTGGTCCGATCCTGAGTCAGTTGAATTCAGTCCATACCAACCCTCCTATTTATGTAAGTAAAAAAAAAAGTAAAGCTCTCCCTGTACCAGGCCGTGGAGGCCCATAGGATTGTGAGACGCTGAGGGTCCCACATTATCTAGACAATCGGCTCAAAGATGGCGGTAAGGTTGTCAGCCTTACGCGCAGGGCGGCGCTTTGCTCCCCAGGAAAATTGTTAAATTAATTCCTGGCACGCATTTTGTTAGAGGCTGAGTAAACCCCAGGGCCTTGTAAGGCCAGTTTTAATAATATTCTTCCCCTACGTCTTGTTCTAATTATATTTCGCGAAGAGCACAAGTTATGGAGGAGATTGCGTTACATGTTAAGCTATTCCATGCCTGTATAAGTCGTCAGAAAAAGGTAAAGTTGTCCCTGTGCTCAACTAATTAAACACTGTGCCATGAAGGCGTATGGGGGAGTGGACGTATAGATCCACATTTTCTTGACCTCGGCACTAGTTAGAGGTGAGTGGTCAGTTTCACGCCCCAGCCGCATTACCCCAAGGTACCCACTGGATAGGAGGTTGGGTGGACCCCAGAGCCGGTCTGGGCAACGTGGAGAAGATACTCGTACAATTTTTGTCCCTGTCGGGACTCGAACTCCCATCCCTCGGTCGTCCAGCCCGTAGCCAGTCGCTATACTGACTAAGCTAGCTCGGCTCCCATAAGTCGTCAGTACATGATTGAAAATAACTGTCGAGTACTAACATAACATGTTTAAGTACAAGCCCTTCTCTTGACGTAAAATGCACACATGCGAAGTAAAATTATTGACAAGCTCAAATGAAAAGCTGTTAAATTAACAAGAGCCAAATGGAACTGGCGGTGCGCAGCAAAAACATTTCATTATGGGGATCAAAACCACTTGCGGATGAAAAGCACAAAGGGGGAATGAAATCATTCCGAGATCGGTGCAAGACACAACATGTGAAAATATAATCAGTAAAATTAAACTGATTTTAAACAACAAATGCTATCTTCCGCAAAATTTCCAGCGGGCTACCAAAAGAGTCCCACATCAGTGGCAAGTTCGAAACACAATTTTTTTTTTTCAATTCATTTAAGTGAATGCTGAGATCCAACTACGCATTACCCCATGAAGACACATGGGGAAGTGGATGTATAGTTCCACGTATTCTTGACCTCGGCACTGGTTAGAGGTGAGTGACCAGCTTCATGTCCCCGCCGCTTTACCCCTGGGGAAAGAACCCCCGATACCGGTTGAATATGAAGTTGGGTGGGCCTTACAACCGGTCTGGAGGACGACCGGAACTCGAACTCCGACCCACCGGCCATCCAGCCCGTAGCCAGTCTCTGTACCAACTGCGCTATTCCGGCTCCCCCAAATGGTATGATTCTTAATGAATTATGTTTTGGAAAGGATGTGGACCTTACTTGAGGTATCATCTCCACATTTACCCGGAGGTACAGACAAATACCATGAGAAACCTCATATAGGCCTAATACAACCGATTTTCGAGCTGAGACTTGAACCACGGGTCTGCCGATTTGATTACATGTTCGGTTTAATCTCTCTTAAGACCAAATGCCTTCCTCAGCACTTCTTTTTCAAACACCTTCAATCCACGTTCTTCAGTGAAAAGGAGCAACCAGCTTCGCCATTCATATAAAACAAACAGACCTACTTCAAGTCTAACGTTGTAAGGGCAAATCAAGAATCAGATTGACGTAACGTATAACAATATGAGTAAATGAGAAATGCTTGTCTGAAAATCTCAAGGGAGAAAGATCACCTAGAAGTACATCCAGATAGTAAAATCAAATTAAAAATATTTTAGAGAGACAGAATTTGTTATTTGTAACAAGAACGAACCTTCGAGTTCCCTTATTAAATATCAGGGAAGCTATTCACTAGATGATTAACTAGGTGTGGACTGCTGAGGAAGGCTTTATCATGGAACTATTTTCATTTTATTTTAGGTCAGTTAACAATCCGCCTTATGAGCTGGGATGGCTTAGTCGGCTGGAGTTCAATTCCCGGCAAGGACAATATTTTTTTCTTCTCCACAGCCTCTAAGGCCCACCCAGCCAGTGGAAATCGGATTTTGTTTCCCCGTGTGTAAAGCAACATATCAAGTGCTCTACAGTATGTCTTGATGGTGTGGTGCTTAATTAATTAAGCACAGGGACTTCACATTTTAGTAATGCTCCTGATTTGTATATAAGGAACACAAGTTTAAAATTTCGATCAGAGTACGGGTTATACCCATTCAGGCTATCCGTGGATTTCCTCATAATTTCTACGTGGATTTCCAAATAATTGAGGCATATTTTATTCTGAGATGTGACGCCACGGTCTCGGACTTTCTTTCCTTGCTTGGCTTACTCTTTTATCCTGAAGATGCAGTTCTTTCCTCCGAAACGTTGATAATGATCTACCAGCCAATAGGGTAACAAATCTCAAAAGGCGGAAGTCTTGATTAAGGAATGCTTTATATAAGGCTCTGAAATCGATACAAGATCCCATCGCATCCTACAACAGACTCAGCATCTATTTTGTTGGTAAGAAACACAGAAATCTCGACAACTTATGATTCAACGCCGCGTTTCTCGAACTTTCGGCAACTGCGGACCACTCGGCTATCATAACATTCCACTTAGCCGTAAAGAGCGCGCAACTGGGATTTTTTTGCTGATAAGAAAAAAATTGATAAAAACCTTTTTTTCTGTCCACCGATGTAGAGCAAATTTTCTTTAAACAAAGACGGGTCACATTTTTAATTACATTATTTCATTTATTATTTGCCATACAATAATATATAGACTACAGACCATCTGGTAGACCACCATGAACCATCAGTGGTCCACGGACCACAGTTTGACGAACAACGATCTGACGTAGTGTTTCATATATATCGTAATAAGTGTATCAATGAAAAGGTGCATAACTGATCACTCTTTCTCTATCTACAGTTAAAAGAGGTGCGGAAATTACCGAATTTGTCAGTCAAGAGGTAACTCTGTAGACTTTCATTCAGTGGGTGCCCGGTTCGAGTCTCGGCTGGGACATCGACTACACTAAATTAATGGTTTTCTTAGTTTTCCTCTGTTCATCCAAGCAAATTCTGAGATCAGCAGCTCGATTAGGCGACAACTGCTTCCTTCCAGATCCTTGTTAATTCATCAGTCATCCTGCCATCCAAGGCTGTGGCCTCGATAAGTAAAACGTCGCTAGCAGCACACAACAAACCCTACACCCAAGGTGGCAACACAACTGACGTCACGAAAATACCCACAACGAACATAACGAATGACTATGATGACCGACCAACACACAACAGAACTCCCGCCCCAGCAAGAACATTCAAGGCAGCCACAACCAGTAAACTAAACAAAACCGTAAGTAACATCACTGTGACATACAGACCCTCTACTGGGACGTGGCTCTAAAACATTAGTCTTTACTAGGTAATGCTCGCAAGCAACAATGGAGGTGTCACGATGTGACGCGTACAGCCGTTGCTATGGAATGCCCGCAGGTTATGCGTGCGCGGCGATGTCACACAACAATAGAAGAGGCACACACACACACACACACATAAAGGTGGTCTCATGCACATACATTTATTTTTTCAAAACAAGGAAAGTTAGCTAAAAATGCTCATTACATTTTGACATGCCTAATTGCACCGATTAACCATAAAAACAAATTATCATGCAATGAAGACTTGTAGGCAGTTGAGGTAAAACTCCATGTATTCTTAGTCTTGATATTAGATGGTGGTGAAGTATCAAGTTCACGTTCTGGCCACTTTACCTACAAAACAGAAGGCTGGATGTGCATAAGAGACTGCAGTCTGGACAAAGAAGATAAAAGCCCCAGCTCCTGCCAGGAATCGAAACTCGGCTGTCCAAGCCATAACCAATTACTATGGCAAACATACCTTAAAGGTCAGAACTCCTCTGCTGCCTTGCCATATCAGCAATTTAAGCACAAAAAGGTTTGTGAAAAATTGTACAAACTTAAAGGAGTCTCTAATAAAGTGCCCTCAACATTTCAGAACTCACTACAGCGACTGCTGCCTCAGGCTGTTAATGGATACGTGTTTACTGAGCTGTTACCAAGCAGTGAACAATACCTTCTGACTCAATTATTCTAGTTTCAGGGGTCATGTCACAACATAAAAACATTTACAATAAGAGCTCTATCTTCTGGGATACAATGCCATGTAGGCTGGTGAAAATCAACTAAGTATTGGAGGAATATTTGAAAACAAAACATTGTCAACTGAATGGCGCAAACATTTCCCACATTTAACCGTTCATAATAACAGTAAACAGGATGATATAATGCAAAGAGAACAGCTTGGTTTCCTGTTACCTACAGAGCTTGATGAATTTACAATATGGTAAAGTAATGACAGTAATTAATCTCTTTTGGAAATAATGTTAGAATAGTACAAACACTGATTAAAATTCTTTCCATTTTGAAATCAAGCATGTCATACATCAAAGGAAGATCATGACACACAAACCATGGCTCTATGCGTAAATAGTGCACAGACATTTCCAGCCAGGCACCTACAGTATATTATAATGACTAAACATCACACTCAGTTATATTTCCACACTTTGCTCCACCTTTGATGAGTGCTTGTTATACTAAGTGGCATACAATATCCAGCTTTTATTGATTATTCCAGGGGTTCACAAAATTTGTGATGCCATAATCCCACCAAATAATACATAAAATTATGTGCCGGTCATTGATTTAAATAGTTTACAGCTTGTCTTTTTTTATTTCTTGCCAGTTCTTTCCTCTCTTTTTGATATCTTCTAGTATCCAGTTGAACCACCTTACTACAGACTGTCTCATAAGTCTCCATCCTTTAAATTTTATTTCTCATGCCCTTATTAACATCCTAGCTCTGTCCATTATTTTCACATGTTCAAATATTTGTAATCATTTCTTTTCTAGAACAATTATTAAATAAATATTATTAATACTATCACATTAATACATTATATAATATAATATGATGTTATTAGTCCTATAAATAGGTGTCTAGAGTATGTGTGTGTGAGGTAACCACAAAACGTTATGTTATGACATTAAGCGGTGTTTTACCTAACCAACTGCGTCTCGTGATATTTCATAATCCTGTTTTGTATTTGGGAGGGCCCAGATTTAAGTCTCAATCTGAAGACCCTGTTCTGACTTACTCGTAAGTTGTCACGATTTTCCATGGGTCGTCACATACTGAAATGTACCATTGTCACTTTCTTCCACACCTTTCCCAATTCATAATTCAGAGTTATTGTGCCATTCAATGATCTACACTTGGCAAGATACTGTTCAGCAAAACAAGATACTAACAAGAAAGCACTAATTGCCAGTGTTATTAAATAACCTAAACATTAATGAAGCAGACAGAATCACTCTCACACATTTTCTGAAATAAAAACTCTAAACTGTGCACTCAACCATTCAGAGCTAAGTCTGAATGCTGTGGCTATTTTTCCAACCAAATCATTATGAACAAAATCTTGAAAGGTAATCTAATATAAAATTATGAAAGAAAAGAAAGAATCAAAGCAAAGCTCATCAGATATTGTAATTCTCTTTAGTTTCTCTCATCTTGGATATAAAATCCTCTCATCTCTCCAGATTCCACCATCTCTGACCTAATACATAACTATAACCAATTTGAAGCATAAACTCTTTATTTTCAAAAAAAATAAAAGGAGGCTCATGAGACCACCTTGTTCTCTGTCTGTGTATCCACCCATATCTGTCCATCTGTCTGTGTATCCTTATCCCCCCACAACATTTTTGAGGCTTATAAGGCTTGTGAGGTGTATCCCCTCCCCACAAATTTTTGTTAGGAGGCTTATGAAATCACCTTACTGCCTATATGCCTGGCCCCCTTATTTTTTTCATTTTCTGTGAGGTCCATGTTGCATCAGAGGGAAGCAGGTGTTTAGTTTTTCCCAGAACTTCTTCTTTAAAGAAGGTAAGGTGATTACTTTCCAGTGCTCTTTCATTAACTGACAACTATTTAATGCATAAAGTGATGCCGTGCTGGTGAAAAATAGATAATATGCGTGATGTCAAATCCTGTCTCACATTCAAGACTTTAATTAGTTTAGTCAAAGAGGACATATATTATCAAGATTAGCATAATCAAGAATCAGTTTCACTACAGTTTATTATTAGAAAATCTGGCCTAAGAATGTGTGCTTTTGCAAGTCAAAAATAACATCTTAACATCCTAAAATTGACATCTTTTCCAGTTTCAACACTGAACTGAAGATATAATATGAAGATGTGGGAATAGTGGTACTGTGTTTTATTTACCTGTATATGCACACCTGCATATACGTGTAAATAAAATGACTGATTTCAGTAATTCTAAATTGAACCTAACCTGTCTCAGCATGTAACTATTTCTCAACTGTTAATAGTTGTTGGGAAATTGTATGATCATCTGAAGTTCTGAACATAATCAGTAATAGTGGTGGAGATCAAAGGAATCAAAAGAATGTGATCTTGGTAAAACTAGCACAGATTAAAAAAAAAAAAAAAAGGACCATGTACCATGTTATGGACTACACAAATAGAAAAGTTTAAAAATAATTTATTTCCTTCACTGAATGTGTTTTCTAAAGTTATTGTGATTATTTATGCCCCTATCAAGAGAAGAATATGATTTGAAAATAAGGAATTTATTATGCATCAGTAACTCACCTGTCTAAACATTCTTGCTGAATTATTGTAATCTGTCATGCCACAACACACAGCACCTCAATATCAATACAGTTGAGCTTGTTGTAACACCCCCATGTTCCAGAACTATGGACAAAATAAAACTATATCATGCACAAGTTCTAATATTGTAATTCTTTCTATTCTGGCTTAAAAGAAGAATGTATAAAATGACATGCAAAACGTACTGTATTAATTCCTTCTCCAACTTCACAGCAGGATGTGATGCTGATCACCCACTTCCATCTAGTGCTGAGGTCAAGAATGGTGGAGCTATACCTCTACTCCCTTAGATGTCTTTGTGGCATGGTGCTCAATGAATTAAGCACAAGAATAACTTTATCTTTACCTTAACATCATAAAAATTGTGTAGAACATTGCTCTTGTCAGGTCACCAATAGTTGCTAATGTTATGAAATGAAGGTCACATAGGAGAATGTAGAGAATGATTTCCAAGAGACAAAAGTAAAGAGATGGGGGTAAAAGGGCAAGTTTTTGGAAGTGAATGGGCAACTGCAATGAATGAGGCAGAAGTTCATACAGGATCACAAAGCCAAGGAGTATGCAAGTAAGTATACATACATTATGGAAACCTTCAAATTTTATACTGTTACATATTTTCACAATACAAAAGTGAAGCTACTGGTATGCAGCTAGGCAAAATGATTATATTCATGGGCTACTAACGGTGAAGTTGTCCTTGTGCTCAACAAATTTAAGCACCATGCCATGTAGGTGCATAGGGAAGTGGATGTATAGATCCACATTTTTTGACCTCAGCACTAGTCAGAGGTGAGCAGTCAGCTTCACGACCCAGCTGCTTCATCCCGGAGGAAAGAGCCCCCGGTATCCATCGGATAGGATGTTGGATGAACCCCAGATCCAGTCTGGACAATTTGGAGGACAGAAAATCCTTGACTCTACTTGGATTCAAACTCCTACCCATCAGTCGTTCAGACCATAGCCAGTTACTATACTCACTACGCTACCCCAGCTCCTGAAGGGCCAATAAAAGAAGCAGTCAATTTTCCCAGCACTAATAAAATACCTGTCTCATGCTGAATAGTAGAAACAACACTACCATAAACCTAATTATTACTAACATAATATGAAATTATTGTCTCCATGTGTTATTAAAGAAGAACAGACATTGTATATTGTTCACATTTAAGACTTGCAAATAATGTAACTGAAGCTGTAAGACATATCTGTCTTGTCTGTAGTGGAAGGATTGTAACACATCTCTGTGTTCTTACTTCTCAGGAGAACTGCAACCAACTTCAAAACTTTGTGTCCTTCACCCAACATACAACTGGTTACACCATGAAATGAAATAAACTGAAGAAGTGAAATGTAGTAATGTTCAGCCCCAAACAATGTAGCCACTAAGAGGAAACAAAATTTAAAAAGTCAGTAGTTTAAGTTAGTTATCTTTCCAGATTAGTATAAAGCTATGGTCTATTAGAGTTCCCAGGAAATATTCCTATAGCATACTGCCATTACATCACACAGTTACGCAAAAGATCCATTACCTATTCTGAACCTGGACAACAGCCCCATTATACTCCCCTTTAATAACATTAAGTTCAATCCATTATTTATCATTTCATGTACAAATCATGTGAAAAAATGTCAAACATTAATTAAAATGACAATACATATAAGTTGTTAAAAGTATCAAAATTATCATTTCCTATATAAGAGGGAGAGTCAGTAAATAGGTCATAAATGGATATAAAACGTAAAACATGTTACATTCAAACTTGAAAAGAACATTTATTTCTCAACACACCCTCCACCACCATTGATACATTTGTCCCATCGTTTTACCAGTGTGTTGAAACCCATAGAAGTCTTTTGACTGTTGTCTGAACCACTTCCGCACCTTGCGAGGCATCATCCGCGACCTTCGAACGCCCCTGAGAGAATTTCTGGACCCAGTTGTGAAACGCTTTACATGACAAAAACTTCCCACAATAAATAGGAAATATTTATTTATGAATGTCCTGTGCATCGAGTCCTTCTGCCCACAAAAACGCACAACAGAATGTTGCTCTTTGGTAATACATTCCTCAAGCACAGTCGCCATTTTGACTACTGAAACCAGCCTCTGAAATATATATATATATACGCCTGCTACCTAGACTGTCATAAAGCTGGACTCTGCTGCTACCTAGTGATATATATATATAGAAAATCGATTATGTATATTAGAGATGTTTTACTTTCAGTTGTGACCTATTTACTGACTATTCCTCATACATCTATACAACAAAAACAATCTCAGACAAAGTTATCTTGGCAATACTCATAAAGTTACTTCAACTGTCTTTAAGTTACATACATATGCCTAACATTATACAAACACAAGAATCAGAAAACGGAAGAAAATCTATCACTGTATTCCATTCTATTCTTGATTAGCTTTCCAAAAACATTAACTTACCTGGGTATGTGGCCGCGCCATAGCTCATGCGGTTAGTCGCTGGCTTTCCACCGCGGCGGCCCGGGTTCGATCCCGGGTCTGGTCAAGTGGGATTTGTGGTGGACAAAGTGGCGCTGGGGCAGGTTTTCTCCGAGTACTTCGGTTTCCCCTGCCAATCTTCATTCCACCAATTGCTCCACAGTCACCCTCACCAATCAACTGGGGCTGGTACAATAGGCCAGAAGTGGCCACAGTACAAAGGGACTTAGTCCCACCCCACTAGCAATAAAAAAAAATACCTGTGTATGGAAACCCACTTAAAGCTATAAACACAAACAAAGCATCTGGAGGCTGTTGTTTGTATGCCATCGCAAATTAAACTGCTGATCATTTGTCATTGTGATAAGTGAAAGCTACCAAAGGGTTATCTGAAAAATTAAGGGCACTGCAATAAAATTAATGTGACGGTACTACAGAATAATTAATTTCCAGCTGATGTCGATCTGTATCTCACATATCAAATGTAAATGATGGAACTTTGACCAACTATAACCTATAATTACGGTCACGGTAGCCGAGCGGTCTAAAGCGTGCACTGTCTTCGCTCGCTCGGAAGCCGGGATCGTGGGTTCGAATCCCACTCTGGGCATGGATGTTTGTGTGCGTTTTTCTGTGTTTGTCTACAGGTAGAGGCCTTGCGACGAACTGATCACTCGCCCAAGGAGTCCTACCGCATGTGTAAGATCTAGTAAACCGAAGTGAAACGGAGAGTTTCATGGAGGTAGGCCTAGGCCCAAATTGGGTGTGTAGCGCCACAGAAAAAAAAACCCTATAATATGTACCTACTTCTCTTCGTTCCTTTATTTAATAATCAATCACCATCGACGCGATATCATGATCACCTGTGTCTCGAAAGTTCTGAACGTAATTCTAAATTCCCGGTAATCGATTTTCTCCACGGATCATCGAATTTGAATCTCAAAGTGCGGGATTTTCTCTTTACAGTGATTTTGACCCCGACAAACATCCGGAGTTGTCAGTTTATTAGGTATTCTTCGCAAAGTTAGTGAAGGAACACCTAATGTCATCATCTCCGTCTGTTCTTCCGTCTAACTGCGACATACTACCAGCGCCTAAACCGTTAGACGGATTTTTTAATTCGTGGCAAATTTTCAGCTGTCGGGAAATTTCGATTTTCAGCCATACTAAACAATTATAAAGTCCAGCTTACTAAAAGCCATTAATGAACATTTTTTTATGCATATCATAAATCGATAATCATTTTTATAAACAGGCCTTCGTAAGCTTTATAAATTGCAAAAAGATTTTTTGATAGTTTTATGTATTACATCAAGGAGCTTAACCTCTCCAACCCTGTCTTCGCAGGCATGGAAGTCAAGGAGTTCCGACTTCTGATGTCATTCAATTTTCGTTTCACTTCAATCACACTACGGTATTTTTATTTCCATACACGGTAACAACGTAATACAATTTATACTCACTTTCTTCTGCCACGTACTAATCAGTCACTACAGACAACTTCTTTTCGTATGCATAACAAGAAAATATATTCCTCCTCTAAATCACTTTCAATGTAATTTAGATTTGCCAGCAATCGATTTTTTTCTCTCCATTGTATCGCAATTTAATCTCGAAGAGTGGTATTTTCCTGCTGCAATGGTGTCGGCTTTTAGCCTCCAAAACCATGGTTTCTTCATCACCCCACTCCTTCTCAAATGTTTCACATCATGTTTCATACCATAACAGTAATTCATGACGCCATTCTATACAGAATGATAATGGAATATTGAACCCAAGTTGCCTTTTAATAGCATGGTTTCTCTTCCTGATATAATGCTAACATTTCACAAAACTATTTGAATTGGTGTGAGAAAATCTGATGTCAGTATCCTACTCCCCAATAGGTCAATGAAAATATGTTGGATCTGAGGTTCTCACAGCCATGCCTATGATGGTACAATCTTCTGGCTTTTCTCCTTCTTGCTTGGCACACTTCTTGACTCTGAAGATATTCCGCTAAAAATATCAGTGGACTTTTACTGAACTACACTGCCTTACAACTCAGGAAGTCCTGCTCTTCTTTGAAAATATAATTTTCAACAGTCAATTACACTTCATTTTAACTATAACACCCTTACTCCTATATCCACATCAGGCTCCCAAGTACTTCAGTAGAAGTTGTATGTCTTTCAACGAACTGCAGTTTACACAAAAACTATAAATCAATCAAATGCAACAATTTTAGTAAACAGATTATGTCTTTTATTAACTTATATGTTTTGGTTATGAATGGCCATCTTCAAATGGTGAACTGACAGTGTTAAAGAGGAATATTAAAACTAAAGACTTAGGTAAAGCATTTACTTTTACCACTCCTGGATCTCGTCTTGAAGATGGACATCACAGCTGAAATATGTAATGCAGTAGAAGATTTTATCCATTTATTAACATTTGTTACACTTCATGGATTTTTTAGTTTTCATGCATTTGTGAAATATAACAGTCAAGATGTCCTGTATAAAAATAAGCAGTGTCACTACAAATTATACTGTCTGGAACTGTTCCAACTTCAAAAGCTTGCATGCCAAATATTGCCATACAGTGCTGAGCACTCCATGAATCTTAGACCAATGACCATATACCACAAATGGAATTATACTTTTCTTTAAAGATTTTATGTAGTAAGAATTATCATAATGATTAAACTTGAGATTGCATAGACAAATCCAATGTGTATTTAATTTTCACTCTTTTTCTATCTTTTTAAGATATCAGAGTCACTAAAAATTACTTCCAAATTCTTGTATTAATGTGCTTCTGGCTTTGCTGTCTCTATCAGTCAGCAGATGCACTGTGCATCCAGTTCACAATGGAAACTGAAACTGAAGGCCACCTCCCCTTCCTGGATATAGATATTTACAGGAGACCCGATGGTTCCCTGGGCCATAGAGTGTACCGCAAATCCACTCATACTAACCTGTACCTTAACGCTGCGTCCCACCACCACCCTTCCAACAAGCAAGCTGCACTTTCAACATTGGTGCACAGGGCTAGAGCACTGTGTGATCAAGACAGCCTACATGCGGAGTTGGTGCTCCTGAAGGATGTATTCAAGAAGAACGGATACAACAACCGGCAGATCTACAGAGTTCTCAACCGTCGGCCCAACATCAGCCGGCCTGAAGACAAACCGGGCTCAGTCGCCTTCCTTCCCTATGT